ACGCCCCAACGTGTTTCCCGAAACATAAGATCTTAGTTATCTTCTGTGCAGTGCTTGAAGTGGGAAAAAATAAGTGCAGGAACTCTAATTTTCTCGGGCCACTGTCGCTGCGTCGGATCAGTTTCAGTAAGTACCGGAACGCAGAAAAAAGTGGCGGAACCCAAAAGACGAAAATACAGAAGTTCCGGAACTGCGTTCCGCTGCGTTCCGGCCCACTTCAAGCACTGATAATATATAGATTTTCTGAATTTTTGTATGCTAAAGAAATATACTGATGTTGGGTCACAGCTGAAGGGAATGAGGTTGTTTTTAAAATCTATCAAGCATGGAGATGTGGAATGTTTACACTTATTTACGTGCTGCTGTTTGGATTGTTAAGTCATGCTCTATGGATTTTATCTAGTTTTTCCCCTCTTAAAATCACACGTACTGGATGGTATTCACGGGTCAGAAAAAGGTGTCTTAGATTTCAAGAAAATTACATTTGATTCAAAAGAGAAAATCTGCACACATTCATTTTTAGAGAGACTTTAGAAAAGAACTGAATATTTTACTTTAGGTTATGGTATTTGCAGTAATATTCATTTGTTATCCAGCTTTTTAAAAATTAATTTTCTATTATGGAAATAATATTGAATACGGACAAGGTACGATAAACCTATTCTACTGAAATCAACATCTCTGTTAGGGTTGATGGTGGCTCAGAAGGCTGAGGCACAAAGGGCCGGGTAATTAAGAACAATGCGGGTGGTGCGTAAGGCCTCATACGCTACCTCACATCGTACTGCTGCATGGTTCCAGTCTGAGGTGTCAGCTGATGATGCTGTACCAAAAACCACATCCTGTGACAAAGAAGGCCGGATGTGTACAGGGAAGTGTGTCATGGGTGCCCACGACACCCTGAAATGATTACTGCCACGTTACTTCATGAACGGCTTTAAAGAAGATGGGGAACGTAATGACCTGACATAGCCGTGTCTCTGCAACACAAGGCCTGAACCAGAAAGTGAGACACAGGACACAGTTTCAACAGTCACGAAAAGCTATCGTGGAATGAAAGTCCGTACTTCTACAGCTCCAAACCATTTACAGTCAGACACTTAAAAAAGTCAATACAAAAATTACATCTTAAAAAAAAAAAAAAAAAAACTTTTGTAAAACGTATTTGCAGTTTCTATGAAATATTTTGTTGTGATCTGTGTAGAAATATATATCTGCAGTATGAAATCAGTTTGCGATGTTTGCTGGTGCTGCCCAGTGCATGCGTGAGGGTGGAGATGGGGCGGCTCAGAGACGCGTCTCCCTGTCAGGCTCACGGCCTGACGTCCGTATCAGCTGGCTGTAGTGTGCCGAGCTGTCGCCGCTGTCGTCTTCCTCCTCGCCCTTCGTGACGGCCTCTGCCGTGCCGTTCCCCAGCTTGCCCCGCTCCTCTGCCTCCTCCCTGATCTGCTTTTCTAGCAGCACGATTCCCAGCAAGCAGAGGAAGAAGGACGCGGTCCGCAGCCCCAGTGTCAGGCCCAGGTAGACGATCCTGCAGGGGACCGGTGGACATGCTAAGCTAACCGCTACGTGCTAAGCACTGAATGCCACACAGGCTGCATAGAGCGCACCCCAGTACCTGTATGCCGCAGTGTTGTAGATCCTGCAAGCTCCTCTCCGTCCACATCTGTTCTGTCCCCACTTCAGGCAGGTGCTGTCGATGATGGCCCCAAAGTATATGGGGGCAGGGATTCCCGCTACAGCACAGGAAAAGAGGGAAACTCCAGGAGTGTCAATATCTCAGGCAGCCCCCCCCCCCCCCTCCAAACTCGGGGACGGGTTTGCTGTTTCCCCACTCAAAAGCCCCGCCCTTCAGAATCTACATAAACAGCTAGCGGGTAGAGTCAGAAGATCACAGCTGGCAGGTTCACTGCTCAGCATCTCTAAGCAAGATTTCCATGCAGGTTTGTCTTTTATTCTTACTCACCAAGAGTCCGTGTAGCCAGTGTGTGTAATCCCAAAGCTAAGGACTTTAACTCTGGCTTAATGCACCTATAGGTGAGGAAAAAATGTACATTCATTAAAACCTGTGATCTAAAAGCTCTAATGAACATGGAGGACCTTGTGTTTGGATGATGATGTATAGAAGCACTACAGTAGCAAGGCTGCTGGCGATTTCACCTCAAACCTTTGGCAGATCAAAGTAATTCTGAACTTCCTGTCTGATTCGGACATCTAGCTATCCTCCTTCACCAGTCCTAGGGCAGTGTATCATGTATTTCAGAAGGTGACGCTCTACGTCTGGTACAGAGGCAGGAACCTGATGAGCAGGATGTAGCCCGGGGTGCCACCCAGAGAGATGATGAACGAGCTGATGACAGAGAGGGCCAGGAAGTAGGGGAAGATGCGATCGCAGCCCTCTCTGTGAGGACAGTGTCCCGCCGTGGCCGTCAGGTTGTGGGGGCCTTGGCCAGCCTCTGCCACGCACTGGCACTGCTCGAACACCTGGCAAGACCACACACGGCCAGCGGTCAGCACCCAGGCCTGGGAAGACACCCCATAAACATCCGCAAAGTGAGAGCACGCCCCCCCCCCCCCCTCCATATCCTCTCACCGTGTTCTTCCCTGATCCACGGGAAGTACGGCATCCGGCTAAGCACGGAGAAACATATGTGATTCCGTTCTCGCCGCACACCGGGTCCCAGTCGTTCGTGGAGCAGAAGCAGCCGGAGTTGCAGTCTGCAAGCTGCGACTTCTCGTTGTAAGAGAGTCCCTCCACTCTTTAAGCACATGGAGTGTGAACGCAACTCGAGTGAGAGTGAGCTGACAGACCCGCTTATCTGTTCAACAAATAATGGAACTTAAGGTACACATAAAGGACCCAGATTCAGAGGATTCAGAGGCGGATTAATGCACGGCAATACTTGGCTACATTCGAGGGCCCCAGCAAAATCAGCTGGCAAAATAGGACCCCTGCCCCGCATCGGGAAATATGGAAACCCAATCTGCAAATTTACTGCCGGCAGACGGTGCTCTGATTAGGGGATTACTGAAGTGATATTGTTTATAATTCTCACTTCACTTTTGGCTATAAAAAATAGCCCTAGAGGCCCATTTGGGGGGGAATTTTAGCCCTGTCGGCGTAAGTAAGCTTTAAGTCTCACCCCAAATGAGCCCAGTCTGCTTTGATTGGTCAGTTTGCCAGATTGGCCAGCTTGCCCTACACAGTCCACCCATCTTTCAGTCTGCAGACAGATCCTTGCAAACAGGTGGCCAATAAGAATTGTTTTACGAGGTGACCTCAAACAGGTGGCCAATAAGAATTGTTTTACGAGGTGACCTCACCATGTCACGGAAGTAAGGGCAGGAATTCCAACGAGGTGTTTCAGGCTGATTAGAGATTAGTGGTTTCTGTGGTGAGAGTGACTCCCTTTGGCGTGTACTTTGAACCTTAAAACTCTGCAGACCGTTTACATGTACATAACATTATATAACACACTAAAGGAATGGGAAAACCGGAAAGCATAATAGGGCCCCTTTAATATAGATATGAACAAAACAGCAGTCAAGTCCTCCAGCTCCTCCTTCAATGTCCTGGCTTTCTGCAGCTCATTTTATCATTAGATGTATCACTGTGACATTATGCGTTTTAGCTCCTTAGGAAGCACAAACCCTCTGTAGGTCACTGTTATCCCTGCCACCCTGGCATTCTCACAGCCCATGGAGAAGAAGAAGAGGGACAGCAAGTAGCCCAGCAGTGACGTCCCAAAGGCGAACTTGGCTGCCCCCATGAGGCTCATCTTGAACTTCTTCATGATGACACCTCCTGAGAACATCCCGAGGGCCACAGCCGGGATGTTGATGACGCCTGCAGAGGCAGCACGAGTCACGAGTGTCAGGACGACGTCCCAGTGCACTGCTCATTCAGAGACGCCGAAGTCCCCAAATCCAAACTTAATGGAAAGTGCTCAAGTCTAGAGATGTAAACATTCTGATGGCAGAGAGAAGCTCTGCTGCCTCACACATCCAGGGCTGGGAATCCGACTCCATCCTCCCTAGTGTGTGTGGAGAGTCACACAGATCTCGGTCTGGGTACACTGGTTCCCTCCCAAACTCCAAAGACATACAGGCTAACTGGTGTGTCTAGACTGGTCATGGTGTGTGGCTGTTAGGGTGGAGTTAGGGCTTAGTTAAGTGACCATATGTCCTTTTTTCCCAGGTTTGTCTTCTGTTTTGGGACCTAAAGAAGCCTAGGGTTTCACTTTGTTTCATATTTGCTTTGCATTGACGCCTCTGTGTCCTGCCCCAGGAGTCCAAAGTAAAACATGGTCACCCCAGTGTTAGGGGTAGGGTTGCCTTATGGGTTAGGGTTAAGACTTAGATATGCTTCCCGTAGGATCCATGTTTACGAATTATGGAATTTCATTTAATTTTTATGCTGACGACACTCAGATCTATTGTCCATTAACACTGAAGAATTCAAACTTACTAACAAAATTGCTGGAGTGTCTGAATGATGTTAAGAGATGGATGGTGCTAAAATTTTTTAACTTAAATTAAAGTAAAACCAAGGATGTGATTTTTTCCCCTGGTAAACATGATATTCATAACACAGACCTAGGTCCCTTCAAACATCACATTAGGTACATTAATCTACGGGTAATTATGGACAGTGATTTCAAACTTGATAAACAAATAAACTCTGTGGTTAAGAGCTCTTTCCAGTTAGAGCTCTTGCCAAAGCCAAGCCCTTTCTGAGCTTTCGTGACTTTGAAAGGGTCACAAATGCGTTTATCTCCTCTTGTCTCGATTATTTAAAAAAAAAAATTATGCTGGAATCAGTCAGGCCTCTATCTTTCAACTACAATTGATCCAAAATGCGGCTTCTAACAGGAAAGTGAAAGCGGGATCACATGTCCTCAATACTTGCTGCACTGCACTGGTTACCGGTGTGTTTTAGGATTGAATTTAAAATACTAACAATCCCTTAATGGCCTTGCTCTCACCTATCTGTCGGGGCCTTTAAATCTGTATGTTCCAAATAAAACTTTGAGATCAGTAGACCAAAGCCTTTTGCTGATCCCGAAATTTAGGTTGAAGCTTAGGGGAAATTGTGCATTCGCGGTTGCAGGCCCAACATTTTGGAACTATTTGCCCCTGCATGTTCAGCAGGAACCAACACTGTCCACGTTTAAAGCTTGCTTAAAAACCCATTTTTATTCTTTGGCTTTTAATTCAGTATAGGAGCTGTCTAGTTTCATGATGTTGTATGTGTTTGTTCTCTTTGCTATTCTGATTTTCACAGCACTTTGTGTCAACCTTGGTTGTCTGAAATGTGCTATAGTAATAAAATGAACTCGATCTTGAACTATACTGGGTTTGGCATAAAGGGTTTAGTTAGGGATGGCACCAGATTAGGTTAAGTTCAGGTTAGGTTAGGGTTAAGGTTGGTATTAGCATTAGACCCAAGAGAAAGATTTGGGTTAGGAAACAGGTTAGGGATGCTGCTGTCATTAGAGCTGATGAAGACATTCAGGCTATAGGCTTAAGTCCATGGTGAAGGTTGGCATAAGGATTCGTTCTAGGGGTACATTTGGCATAAATATGAGCTGTGTCTGATAGGAGGGCAGGAGGGTGACAGCTACATACCCATAAGGAAGTTAGCGTTGGAGGCTGACTGTCCATAATGCTGCTCGATGTACTTTGGCTTGTATGTGACCATCCCAATCAGGGAGTTGAACTGGACGATGGTCACGCAGAGATACAGGAAGTAGACTGGGTTGCCAAGCAGGTTTTTCAAAGATGGCAGAAATTCTTTAAAGTAACAACAAGGACATTTTTTAGTTGCTGCTTTATTTTAGCGTAACGGAGACCGCCACGGTTAGCGGCCATTTTACCCTTCGCCATTTCGAGGAGTACAGGTGGCTCGTCAGCAGTGTGCTTATCCTCGCTATGCGACGCGCCCGTGGCGAAGCGGGACTGCTCTCCCGCGGTGTACCCAGAGAGCCGGAGGCCTGCTGGCGCGGGCAGCGACTTGGGCAGGAACCAGAACGGGATGGCAGAGAGCAGGGTGACGGTCCCTGCGATGATGAAGCCCAGCCACCAGGCCCCCACCCAGCGGGCATCGCCCGGGGTGATCGTGATGCTGTCTGAAAGGGGGAGAGGTAGGCACTTACGGGGTTAACTGGGTGCAAGCTGAAAGCTGATTGGACCTCAGTGTGCACCCTCCCCTGTCACTCACCGATTCAAAACATATCATTGGTTAATGAGGTTGGCCCCACTTATGCCTCCACCATAAGTAAGGTTGCCCCCCCCACACCTTAAAATAATCTTAGAATCACTCCTGTACTTACCCATGTCCACAAATCCAATGTCGACATATATTCCAGCACAGATAGATCCCAGTAAGTAGCCAAACACTGGACCAATGATGGATATTGTTTGAATGCAGCCTGGAAAATAATTGTATTTTATAATTATAATTATAAACATTGTTATAATTGCTCTGCATACGGGGTAGACAATACTTGACAAGGGAGAGTTAAAAGACTTATAGTAGGAGCCAGTCAGATGTCTGAGGTTTTTTTATGTAGTTGCATAATGCTGCCAGTTAGGAGTTGGATGGTGTGATACAGCTTATATCCATCAGTTATTCTGTGCAGCACTGCGCTGATAGGCTTGTAAGGCTTGTATAGCTAAATTGTTTCTGTCCTCTTGTACAGAATCCCTGGTAAACTCACAATAATAACCAATGGAAAAGTCTCTCTGAGCAAAAGACTGGGTGTTACCAATGTAGAAGGCCACATTTTCCGCACGGGCATAGTCGTCGATGTACGAGATTCCCAGCGGCTGTATGGGAGTCTCGCCGATTCCACGCAATATGTTTCCCAGGAGAACGTAGATCCACATGGAGAGACTGGACTCCCGCTCACAGCCTAGGGTGAGGGGGTGCGGGGTGGGGATGGGGGGAGGGAATAGTCTGATCATGAAAATCAAATATACAGTTTAGCTGTGACTATATGTTACTGTTATTCCTTCTACAGTAATCATAATTATTATAATTGTATAGTAACTGTTCCTTTTATATAACTGTAATTATAAATATATGTATACTTAGTGGGCCACCTTATTAGCTGCTTATTAACTCAGAATAAAGGAATTATGTGGCTGCAGCTGAATTATATCACACACACATTGCCAAGAGGTTCACTTACTGCGTGGAATAAAATCATTTAAATGGCTATGGCATGTGATCTAAGTGATTTTAAACGTGCTGTAATTGTTCATGCTAGACACGTTGGTTCCTGACATGGCATTTTTCAGATATTACACTTTCTTTTACAGAGAAGAAAAACCTTTTTAATGAGAGATTAGTGTGGTCAGGCTCAATCAAACTAGCAGGAAGGCCACCGGCGTGAATATAAGAGCTCAGAACTACAGTACAGGCCTCTCTGAACACACAACCCATGATGAGATTCTGGAGATAAAATGGGCTCCTAATAAAATAAGTGTGTGTCATGTAGATATGACTATTACCTCCATGTATGTATTTACATATGAATATAATGAATAGAATAACTGTATATGATTGTAAACATGTATGTAAGTTATTTAACTCAATCCTACATGCAATGCAAGATCGTAAACATGTATACAGCTGTCATACTGAGACTGCACATGGAATTATTGATTATATACATGACTATTGCAGTGATATGTTTTATATACAATATGATAAATGTTAGGCAGTCATCTCAATGTTCAGGATAAAAATGCAGACTGTTCCTCCCTTGAGCAGTATTGCATTAGGATCAGAGTAACTTTGAAATGTTTGATATTTTATTAATTTATTCTATGAATAATTAATGCTGTTTCTGCTGACTATTTAAACGTAATGTCTGTCAGAGCTGCAGGGTTTGACTGGAAAGGAGCGTGAACTGTGTGGCAAGTAAACATGTTCACCTGGGATGGCGGGAAGCCTGTCGCCTGGTGTCAGCGGGTCGAGTGAGCTTGCTGAACATGGGGATAGACTAGTGCTGGTGTTCACCGAAGACCTGACTGATGTTTCAAACTTGTAGCTGCACATTAGTCACAGGTGAAGACAGGAGCACTAACATCACTCAGGTAATGCTAACATCACTCAGGGAATAGGAACTTGACTCAGGGATCAGGGAACAGTAAGAGTAATGTTACGGGATGCTAATATCGCTCGGGGTAACGTTAAAGAATGCTGACATCGCTCAGGGAACAGTAACGTTACTTGGGGAACAGTAACATTACAGAACGCTAACATCACTCAATACTCAAGGAACAGTAACATTACAACAGGGAACAGTAATGTTGCAGAATGCTAACATCACTCAGGGAACGGTAACAATACTTAGGGAACAGTAACATTACAGATGGGAACAGTAATGTTACTGAATGCTAATGTCACTCAGGGAACAGTAACAATACTCAGGGAACACTAATGTTCCAACAAGACATAGTATTGTTAGGGAATGCTCACTCACGGAACAGTAGTGTTAGAGAATGTTAATATCACTCAGTGAATGCTAACATCATTCAGAGAACACTAGCATCACTCAGAGAATGCTACTGTTACTCCGTGAGAGCTGATGTTACTCAGGGAACAGTAATATTACTCCGAGAATGCCACCGTCACTCAGGCCTCCAGTAACTCCTGCAACATTTTCTCGAAAACAGGTGCTTACAGATGTCCTCAGTACAGAGTATGAAGTTCACAGCCAAAGCATGATATCACACAAACATTCACAAAGCTGGGCCATTTAACATTTATATATATATATATATCACTAATGTTACTACTCATCTGAGATCACCAGTTAGCAAACACCTGAACAGTACTTCTGTAGGCCTCCTAATTTTAATATGCATCTCATTATCTTAATGTTTTGTGCATTCATATCAAATCCTTATCATACCTTCTAAAAATACACATTTTATATATTAAGTAAAATGGTAACATACATTTTATAATAATAAAATTATTATTCTTTTCTTATTTATTTAAAAATAGTTATTATTGTTATTATATAATACTAATAATAATTAATAATATGAATAATAATAAGTATAATAAACACTTGCATCAGTAACCTAGAAATACTACCTAAAAAAACCCATTTTGGGGTGCCCATCCTCTGCACCTACCGGCCAGTGATGAAGTGAGGTATGGCCATTAAGAACGTCCCAGCAGACATCAGGAGGCATCCTACTGAAATGATCTTTGGCCTGTGAAGCTTCGCCCCAAAATAACTGACAAACGCAATCACCAGCAAATTACCTATGGGAGACGGCATAGGGTTTTGTAAAACGGAAACATTACTGCAGCTCCAAGCCGATAAATCATGACAAACTGTCGGGACAATGCCTCGCCCGCTGCCCGCCGCTGCCCGCTGCCTGCCCATCACACGGATTATCCACAATGTCCATGACGCAGATTCTACTGACCATCTGACCCATGGCACTGCATGTTGCTAAACTGAATATGATGATACATAAATACAGTCGTTTCTATGAAGAATGTCCTATGTTAAGCAATACTTAAATTGAAAATAATTAAAATATTTTAAAAAATATTTCAATAAGTTTATTAACTAAATGAAAATGAATGGAATGGATAAATGATGTAACACTATAAACAAAAGATGAAGGAGTATTTGAAATGAAAACCTCTCACACTCAATACTGGAAAATCAGCAAGAAGATGAATGAATGGCTGTTTAAACATGGTAATGTGAGAGCAGTTTGGCCTTCTGAGATCCGGCTGTCTGTCTGCCTGTGTGTCATTTTACGGTACTGAAAAGCCCAGCATACGTTCAACAGCAGTTAAGGAACCTTTTGCAGCATTATCTACCCAAGTTAGGCAAGGATATTAGGAGAACAGGGATCTGAAATGTTTGACTTCTCTTACAAAACAGAGCTGAAGCAACCCAACACCTTACTGGGTACAGATACCAACTCAAAATGACAAAATGCTGACTACCCTCATCATGGTGGGTGTGTGATTGTAGATCATGGCAGACACGCCACACTGTGCACTGTTGTCATGGCAACAAGTGCATGTGCATGACAGCAATGCAGGGGTGCTGCAAGGGAGCACTGGCCACAGAGCAGTCTCCAACTGCCAGGCATAATCCATGGTGAGAAGGTACAGGATGGCGTGAATCAAAATGAGGGCTTTCAGAAGCACCACTGCAAGGAATTATATCCACAACGAGACTGAAGTGGGAGCAACAGGTGTCAGCATGACTGCTTTTTGTGATGGGCATTGATTGTGTCGGCTATTTTTCTTCTGGTAACTTTACCACAGGCAAGCTTAAATAACCATAGTAAATCACCTCATTCTGAATACTAAATTCAGCTGAAAGAGCTGTACATATACATCAGAAAACACTTACGATCAAGTAAAGATCAAATTCACAAAAACTATTACTTACTCAGCCCTCATGCAATTCAACAAAGAAATTTCATTAAATTTCCAAACTCACTAAAGCCATGGAGATTTTCTCAAAAATGTATCCCGTGGACCGAGTCTTGGAAATTTGCTCTTCAGTTACAAGCTGTTACACTATATTCAGTTCAGGAAAATAAAGCAAAAACTAAATAAACAGTAGATTGTTCACTAAGAAAGCACAAAACCCTGGCATAACAGGACATGAGGCACTGTTGGGATCTGTGGCAGCACTGTTTGTTTTTGTAAAGAGATCTATTTGCTGCTAAGGTTGTGCTCTGTCATCACAGAGTACATGAAGGTGAGTGAAAGCGGGATATGCAGATATAGTGAGTGAGAGTGACAGATGCGGAGGCTGTGAGTGAGAGATATGGAGGCTATGAGTGAGAGATGCAGAGGCAGTGAGTGAGAGTGAGAGATGGGGAGGCTTTGAGTGATAGTGAGAGATGCAGAGGCAGTGAGTGAGAGTGAGAGATGGGGAGGCTTTGAGTGATA